CATGTGCGTGTCACGTGAGAGTCACGTGAGTGCCATGTCCCCAGCTTTGCAGTTCACGCAAACTAAATTCTCGTTTTGTTATTTCAATGAACCCAAGTCTAGCACATCTCTTACTTAAACTTAATAATAATTTTGTCCTGCTTGCAGCCCCCCCCCCCCCCCCCCCAATTGAATCAGCTAAGCACAGATCCGGCAGTAATGTGGTACACAAGCTCAGCCGTTTAATGTCCACATGTTTAGTTGAAGATCAAAACAAAACAACCTAGCTGTTTATTGTCATTTAAAAATAACAAGATGATATAACTACATCTTACAGATAATCTTATAGATAATCTTATAGATAACTAGCCGATATACCCGGCGTGACCCGGGATTGCATTAGGACCCCGATTCTTATGGAGCCCTGATTCCATTGGGCCCCAATCCCATTCTGACACCGATTCCGGCGCAGTCCCGTTTCCCGATGGGATCCCAATCCCGGTGGATATATTCAAAGTTGGGATCCCGTTTTCTGGTGGGATCCTGAGCCCATTGGGATAAAGATTAATGATGGGATCCCGACCCCTTTGGTTTCCATCACGGATACAAAAAAAAATTACTCAATGGTACTGCGAGAGCATTAAACTCCGGGACAGTATAGGAATGAAAAGAACTAACTAACATTTCACTATTCCCTTAGAGCCCACTATATATCCCTTTGGAAATATTTAGAACTTTCTGGAACATTCTAGATTAAATTTAATAACCGAATATGCATTATAAAGTATATGTGTACTAAGTTTGGTCAAGATCCATCTACTCATGTAGGAGTGTTTGTTTCTAATTATTTTTATATAGCTCATAAAAGGAAAAAAAAAACGAATTCGGGGCCCCCGGCCCCCAACGGAATGTTATAAAAAGTACTAAGTTTGGTCAAGATCGATCTACTCATGTAGGAGTATTTGTTTCTAATTATTTTTATATAGCTCATAAAAGGAAAAAAAAACAATTCGGGGCCCCCGGCCCCCAACGGAATGTTATAAAAAGTTCATAACACCTTAAGAATTCCTTCTGGATAATGATGCATATATGTGTCAAGTTTGGTCAAGATCCATCAATCTACGTAAAAGCCCGGTGGAAAAAACCCATAAACAAACAGAATTTCACTTTTATATATATACTAGCCAAAATACCCGGCTTTGCACGGGATTGTATTAGGACCCCGATCCTGGTAATACCCCAATCCCAATTGAACCCAAATCCCCTTTCTGACCACAATCCTGCCGCAATCCCCTTTTCCGGTGGGATCCCGTTTTCTTGTGGCTACGGATCCAGGTGGAATCCAGATCCCGGTGGGATCCCTATCCCGTCGGTGTCTTAAACCCAGTGGGATCCCGATGGGTTACAGATCCCGTTAGGATACCGTTCTCTGAGGGATCGCGCTCCACCTGGGGACTCTCTTTTCCGATGTTATCCCTTTTCCCGATATGATCCCGATCCCGGTTTGATCGCGTTACCCGATGGGATCGCGTAATAGATGGGTTCCAGTTTACTGTTAGATCTCGTTCCCCATTAGGATCCTGTTCCTCTATGGCAGTGGTTCTCAACCTTCCTGGTGCCGCGACCCTTTAATACAGCTTCTCGTGTCGTGGCGACCCCCAGCCACACAATTATTTTCGTTGCTACTTCATAGCTGTACGGATATGTGTTTTCATGTGGTCTTAGGCGACCCCTTGAAAAGGGTCACGCGATCCCCACAGGCTGCTCCAAACATGTTTAAAAACTACTTTTCTAATAATTTTTTTAAATACAATAAAAAATCTTCAACAAATGCCATAATTTTAATCCTTCTTCGTTTCAGTTAATCTAGGGGCCCCGGGTGGCTCATTCCATAACTGTACCGATTTATTATGCCTGAGATATGGGGCCCTACAAATATCAGACTGATAAATAATAGTTAAAATTTAAAATTGGTCTCTATAAAATCTACTTAAAAATGCCAGAGATATAGCTTTTTAAAATTATCTAACTTTCTGGAGAATTCTAGAATGGATATTATTAGTTTTAAATCAACCGATAATTAAATACAGACAATGAAGGGTATAGCTACAACGCTAGGCGTATATCCATCAATTCACATAGAAACTATAGTGTTGTCTAAGCCTATTGATATTTATATAACGTATATAAGGAAAAATAAAATGGGGTCCCCCCGGCCCCAGAAGAATGAATATTATGCGTTCAGTATCCTTCTGTATTTGAATATGGATAATCAAGTGTATGTGTACTTAGTTTGGTCAAGATCCATCTATTCATGTAGGAGTGAACATGGTACCAAGGCCCGCGTATTATTTATTAATGTATAGGCGATTCACTCGTTCAAATTCACGCACTTCTTGTCAAGCATGTTCCACAGTTTTAAAAAAAAAAACCAATATCTTTCCTCTTCAATGACCGGTGTAGTTCGATATTTTACAGTGGGCGTTGTAAGGGTTTGTACCGCCCCAGGCTGCCGCTGTCTTTCGCAGCTTTCCCTCGCCACGGCAAAAAACAACTGATGAGTTGACCGAAAACGCAGCCCTAAATTTATATACATATATATTTAAATATGTATACATATATTATTTATATATTATAAAAGTGCTGCCAGGGTCTGACCGCCCTCTCCCCCNCCCCCCCCCCCCCCGTCTTTCCTAAGCCGGTGATATTGTAGTAACGTTATAGCCATTCACTAGTGAAGAAACCATGACACATGAGGTGTGTGGGGGTGACCTCCAATCACAGTCGTATACACAGACTTGACAGGATCGAGTCATAACGCAGGCATATGTCACCGTCAAGTAGTGCCGAATTAGCAGATAAGCCCCAAAGACTACTGGCACAGGGCGGATAGGGAGAGAGGGAAGGAGTAAGACGTGCAGTGGCGTAGGAAAGGGGTGCGGGAGTAAGGGGTCCGTCCCAGGCGGCACTTTTTCTCTTTACGTGGTGGCACGGCATTTTTGACCAGCTGTAGAGTTTTTAGCCGAAGAAGGAAAAACAGAAGTAACCCAGGCTACGCCCCTGAAAACTCGGGACAGGGGTGAAGGGGGAAGGGGTAATTGGGGGAGAAATCTACGGCTTTGTAAAACTATAATAAAACTAAGAAAACAATACTAGTCCAGATGGAAAGGGGGGGGGGTGGTGTTGTCATTGTGTGTCAATGGGGAATGTGATGGGTGGAGGGGGTTGTCATGTGTCTTAAATCTGTACCATGATACGATTGGTTAAAAGATAATGAATAATAGGAGGGAGCATTGATAACATGGACAAGAGGCTGTTGGTAGCCATTGGTTAGACTTATAAAACAAAGCAACCCCTGGCAGGTACCAGGTAAACTCTAAAATAAAGAATATCTTAATAGATGCCCCCCCCCCCCCTCACTACTAGTCCCACCCAAATGGTTCAGTTCTCATATTGAGAAAGTATAGAAAGATGTAGCACTGAAGGACATTATAGTCTGAAGTGGGAGAGAAAGAGATTAATTAAGGAGAGAATGATATTAAGCAGATAAAGAAAAGATCATGGGTAAAAAAAAAAAATTGCCAACATAAATTTACATGGACATTTGGCAGAGTAATTCTAAAAATACCTGTTAGCACCGCCATTAAATTAGGAGAAATAATAATACAAAAAGGAGAGGGACATGCCCAGAATATCATTTACAAAATCATCATACTCTACTTCTGGGGATAGTCACTTGTTTGTTAATCAAAATAAAAGATTCTAATAGCAAATCAAAGTGTTTCAATTACAAATATGGATCCTTTAATTTATATTCTCTCCTCTACATCATACACCAGATCAAAGTCTAAATAAAGAGCTGTATTATATTTCAAATTCTATAGTATATCTCATCCAGCCATAATTACATGGATATGATTTGAGAAGTAGGTTACTTCTTTGAAGTTATTATTATTACGAGTAGTATTAGTAGGACAAAAGTCATTACTCATTTCAAAGACTTTTCACTAGTGATACTAGAATTTATGGTGACTGAATGTTGTTTCACTCTGATACGAGAGGCTATTCGTTATCTTATTTTGTTTCAGAATGAATTAAAAAAACAACCAAAAAGAAACAAAAAAACAACTAAGATAATCTATTTAAAATTTACTAGTGACTAGTGTATTGTAATTGTAGTAATAAATATGTGAATAATTATTTGTTTTTTGGCTGCATTGGCTTTTTGAAATGATAAGAATAAGACTAAGACTTTTAAGACTTAAGACTAATTAACTTTAAGACTAAGTTAGTATTAAATTAGCGTATCAATTTATGCATATTGTGTCTATAAATATAACTATAAATAGCAAACTTAAAACTTAATTTCAAAATTATATTTGAATTTTTTATGACTATGTCTATGACGATAGCCATTTAGTCTAGTATTTTAATTTTAACACTTAGACTTAAAGTTAAAGTATTATTAGCACCCACTAATGTACAATTAAGACGGTGATGATAATTAATTGAGCTCGGTACAAAAATATGGTTTTAAATTTAATTTTGATTTATATTTATTATTAATGCTGCTTTAGTCAAAAAAGTAAATATTTTATTTTGTCACCAAATGCTTCATTTAATATTCAACACCGTTTTGAATCCAATTCAGAAGCTAACCCACCCCTGTATTGATAAATATGAGTGTGTGAGTGTGGGTATGTCAATGTCTTGTGTGTCACCGTATGGCTTATAATATGTACCACCAGCCACCTCCCACTTTTTCCAGCAGTTCCTAAGTAACGTCAGTTTACACGTTTTATTAGGCGAAAATCAATCTTTTGAAATGTTCTCAAGAATTACCCAATTAAGATCAGTTCCCTGAAAGAAGTGCAACAAAATTCAATTATATTTTTTAACGTACTTACCAACTTTAAAATGAATCCACTTTGTCCGGACCTTGGAACCTTTCGTTCCGTAAACAACAATGTTAATGTTGTGAGCTAAAAAGTTTAACTTGATATTTCGTTTTGCATCCATTAGTGGTAGAGGTTTTATGTGTAACTTGATTGATAATGTCATGTGACAATATCACATGACCTACTGAACAGTACTTGTTTACGTTTTTGTTCATACTGTTCGCCTTAGAAGTATTGCATATTTCTTTTATTACTGGTGTGGAAATAAGAGATACGAGTTAAAAATCGGCACTGTTGCTTTTGTATTCACTTGAGTAAATCATGCTATACATTACTATGAACTTAAGGTGTAAGTTATTATTAATAATAATATTATTATACCTATAATTTTATAATTAAATATAAATTATTTAAATTTAATTTACTGAACTGATAGTTAGTCACTGGGATGTTAAAGTTGATGTTACAAGTTACTTACATTACGAGTTGAATTAATACTCACTCAAGAGTGACAAGAGTCCAGCTAGAGATTAGACCTTCCTTAATCCATAGCCTATAATATAATATATATTATATGCTATTTATAAATTTATAAGTATAAGCCTTATCCGAAGTCAGGTCCCAAATTAATTTGTATGAAATAAATTGCAATGTACTGCACAGTGTGTATTGTTAGAATACAGCAGAAATGTCAGTCATAGCTTTTGCAAGTAACTGTCACTTTACAAACCAGTCAGTGAATACTAAATGTTGTAATTGGGGCATATCATTTGCAAATAGCAACCGAAAACATTCTGCTTGTTACTGTTGCCAGTGTTGTGCCACAAAAGGCCCCTAAGTATCTGGCAAACAGACTTCAACTAGCCTTTACTAGCACCACTCTGATAGCAGAGTTAACGTTTCACTTCCATCCAATGTCCTGCAATAGTTTCTGTGTGAATATCCTGGTCTACTGAATCAACAAATTCACGTGCGTGCTCAATGACAGCTTGAGCATAAATCCTTTTGTTGAGCTGAGCGACATTTTGATATCCTCAACAAGCGTCCGTGACAATAGTTTTCCATGGTAACACATGATTAGTCATAATGCGCTTGAGTGTTTGTGCATCTCGACGGCCAACAACCTCCATCCAACATCTTCCACTTCCACGCTGAACCAAGCCGACAACCCACTTATCAACGCGTTACTGTCGACGGTGATATTTTCTGTGGAAAAAGTAACTCTCATCCATCTCAACGAAAACAGACTGACCGCTTGCATCAAAGCCCCCGAGCAGATGATTGGTTCTCAGCATCCATTGACAGCATTCCTGACGAAGATAGTTGTTATAGTTGACGATAGTGTTCCAGCTAACCACACTCTCGCACAACATAACATGTTTACACTTGAATTTGTAAACACAATAATACATGATCATAACTATTTTTCAGTTGTTGGATCACAGTTGGCAAAGAATGACCAGTTCTTACACTACTGCAGGTATTGCGTGGGTGAAAACGCCCCAAAAAACTGTCATTGCATTCCGCAGGAGCGACTAACGCGATTGGGTGCCTGCATATGCCACAATCAATATTGTTTCTTATCAAGCTATGTCGGGCCTGCCACTCCAACTATTCACTCTTGTTTGACACTACAAAATGCAACTCACACTGAATTACCTCAATTCCGCCCAGTTGTGCAGCTGGCAAAATAATCAAACCAATGCTTATCGGTGTGGCTGGCCTACCTCCCATACTTTAACAAATTATTGAAATGTATGCAAACATTAATTTCAAAACTTTTGATTAAGGAATAATCATTGGAAATAATTTGGGACCGAACTTTGGAGGATTGTCAGTAATTGTTTACTATTACTAAATACTATATCATACTAATAGTAATACTAATACTAACAGCATCACTTAGCAGTGTACAATCATGCTGCGTAAGTTTTGGTTGCTCCCTGCCCCTATTCAGTTTTCGTTATTTAGTTTGCAATGCAATCTAAATGAACTTTCAATAAATTTACGCACTCCACGCCATGATGTTTCCCATGGCCGACATCTTGTTGCCATAGCCCAGTCATGGTTTATGGCAACCAAGATGGCTGCCATTTAAAAAAACACACGTCTGCTAAAATGGGTGAGGGGAAAGGGAGAGAATGTGGTAGTTGAACTATTTACTGAGAGAAACGAAAATAGGACCAAAATGTTAAAATGTAATGAAATAATTTTAGCAGGTACTTAAATTTCGTTTTGAACAAAGCTACTTTATATCTTATTCAACTTTTTAAATAGATTTTATATTAATACAAATAATTTCAATTTATCCATGATTAAGGCATAGTTTTTGACTTTGTGAATGCAGTTTTAGATAAAAGAGGAGAGGAGTACAAATATCTTACAATATTACATATTAACAAGGATTCATTTAGATTTATTATTTATTTGAACATTCCTTTTAACAAAATGTTGGAACTCACTAATATTTTTTTCAAAGGATGTATGATACATGGTTTTGATAAACAAATATTATTATTGTTAGTTATGTTTTGGTATTGATGAATAAAAAATAAAATATATATATTAAAAATAAATTTGTCTTTTTCAGTTGCTGCACTCTAATACACTGTATTGTTTAGAAGTATCATCAACGATAACATATTGTTATTTGTGATAGTGAACTTTCTATCGGAGGCCTAGAAAATGATGGGAGTAAGTTCAACGTAAAATATTTAAGATTGATAACTTATGATATATACAATATTTGCCTCAGTGATTGTGGAAACAAAAAAGCTCTCAGTTGATAGATATTGTTTAAAAAAAAAAATTTCTTTGTAAATTGTGCTTTATGGCCTTCAACTCAATGGATAGGATTTTAATAATCTTAATGAAGGGAAGGGGTTCAAAACTTTGTGAGGAAAATGGCTCACATTAGATGAGGAAAATTCATTTCATTGTACATATTTCTAGTCTTGAAATTTTGATTTAGTTTTTCATTTTACGAGTCAAGCTTTTTAAAAATATTTTTTGTCAGAACCGTAATATGGAACGTTTCAATATGAAGTGCAGTTCTCATCTCACCAACAAGATTTAGAACAGAAAATAAAGTGGTTAAAAGGAAAAGCATCTTCATTATTATGTACTGAGGCTACAGAATAAAGGGATTCTGCCTCTAATTTCTTCAAAGACATTTTTACATACATTTTCGGTGTGGTCAATGGTTTTTCAGTTACTCAACTAAAAATAATTCACGCAGGAAATGGTACTCAAATAATTTATTACCTTTATTTTTATTTATTTTAATTGAATAAATATCATGTCTGACAACAAAAAGGACTAAGCAAATGTTGGAAAGGTTTTGTAAAAAAAAAAAAAAAATCTGGAATGCAAATTAAATTATAACGCTACCAACATGACAACTGCTTTATGATAATGTTTCATATCATACTGATACTATTGGTTTTCCAGTTATTTGTACTGTAATTCACGTTAATGGCAATTACCCAAGTCAGTAAAAGATATGCTTCAAAAGATTAGATAACAACAGATAACAAGTGTCTTCTTTTTAGGCTGAAATTTTAACATACAGCATGTCCTGTATTTTCCCATTTAAAAATAAATATTTATGCTGAGAGAAATTATGGATAAAATCTAATAATATCCACGTCTTGCATGTATTGTGTAAATATACTTTGATGCTCATGGAGTCAAATCTTGAAATAAGATGAAAGGAACTTCAACATGGGCAAACAATAAAAAAAATCCGTCACATTTAGCTCGTTTTGAACATTTTACTTCTCATTCGATAAAGCGGTTTAAAATTAGAAGATAGAATACATTTTAGCAATACAAAAATTGCTAGCTTATGTTTTTCCCGATAATCTAGTGTCGAGAGAGTCATAAGCATTATTTTTAAAATGATGAAAAAAGATTATATAATAATCATATAATATCAAGAGAACCTAATATAACAAAAAAATAGATCATAATTTCTATATAGTAATATCATATCATTTCAATTTATTAAACATAAAGTAATCTTCCAGAAAGAAATCATTTGGACCGGAATGTGACAATTTGCATTTTGACCTGGTGAAAACTGTAATTACCATCTTGACCTGTTGTTATTTTTCCAGATGTATTTTGACACCAATGCTACAATGACTGACATTCTCTTCCACAAGTGGAATACATATTCAATTGGAGGTGACGATATTTTAATGAGTGAATTTATGCGCAACACAGTCTCACAACACATACCACTAAGTTATACTTTATCTTATCAAGGTGTTATTTTTTGAGCATGTCTAATCTAGTAGATTAAATCTCTTAACAGTGTGAAAATGTTGACTTCATCAGTAGGTCAAGTCAAAAATAACATTTTAGTGAATGAACGTTATCATTTTGATTTTGATTTTATATTTTGTTCCAAGAACTGATAAAACGTTTGACCTTGTATTTAGTTCAAGTATCTCAAAATAAGGCTTCCCGCATGGGCATAATTCAGGGGCTACAACATACCAAAACACAACAGTGTACCCCAAAACAATGGAATTCTCTCCCATTACACATCCACAATATAACGATCATCCTAGCCTTTAAAACTGCCCTCGATACCCATCTTTTCAAACTGTACTATACAGACTCATTCTCGTCACCCCTCTTTGCAACTGAAAAACAATGCTCGATGCTGCTGGGTGCTGTCCATGGCTAGGCAGGGGTAGATGGTACTTGGGTGGGTGAGGTCATGCTATTTTTACCAATTGCTGTTTTTAGATGTATAATTTTCTGTAATTGCTAATTTTATTTGAAGCACACTGAGCCCAACCCTAGGCTGGGGTACTGAGCTATATAAAACCACCTTTAATAATAATAATAATAAAAATAATAATAAACCAACACACAACATATTATACCAACACAACTTCGACACACAACATATACCAACATACAACATGCCAACACACACCATTGTTAAATGTTGTCTCACTTGTGGCACGTACAGGAGGATTAAGTTTTTAGTTGGCTCCATGAGGGCTCCCTTCTTGGTACATTTCTAAACAAAATGTGAGAATGAAACTGTGTTGTTTTTTCATCTGTTCTATATTTTATTCCACAGATGCCATCTTAGCTTCATTCTTGTCATTGTTGTTCACTGTTCTCTTTGAGGGATTGAAAACATTGAAATCTTTTGTGATACTGATGAAGAAAAGAGCACCATTAAATGATGGTCAGCAGAGAAACACCGCGGCAGGGGAAGATGGACCAAACAGCTCGCAAACTGACCTGCTGATTTCACTGAGAATCCCTCTTAGTCAAAACGTTCGTCATTGGAGGTATCAGTACTAATGTCGTAAAGGATTGATCTTATGAACCTTGAAGAATTAACTCTGTTTACCTTTCCATTTCCATAAACATTTGCACAGAGCTTATTCTTACTTGTCAACTATGTCACAATCTGAGACTTAATTAAAAACATTCTAGAATCTTAATTTGAAATTTAAAATAGTCTATAAGGTATTATTCAGTAAATGAATAAAAATTATAAATAATTATATTGTTCATGTATATTTTTAAAAAAAGATACTATATAAATCTAAAATCTAGTTTGTTAATAAAGGAGGGAGGCTCAGCAATTAAGAACATCAGCTTTCTTATAAGAATAAATTTGAAGGCCCACGTTGGAAATTAACCTTTAGTTATTTAAGGGTTTTATTTTCTTAAAAAATATTTGTCATTGCAATCCATTTGTTGGCCACATGAAAATTATTGTAGTAGTGCTGCATGCTTTAAATGCCTTAATTAATGTATGGTACATTAAAATTTAAATCTTGTATCAAACATTAAATCTGTTCAATCAATGCGAAGCACCGGGTATATATATATATATATAACATCAGCTATTTTATAAATGAGCAAGTGTTTCTTTTTAGGTGTGTTGCTATGTAGGTCAATTGTGTCAAATTGTGGGACTGATAAACCAAGTTTCCTGTCTGAGATAGTCTTTTACTTTGTTTAATGATGGAAACAGTTGAAAAACTAGAAAAACACACTGCAGCTGTGTAAAATTGTGAATCTGGTGTTATATTTTGCACTCCCACCCACTTTCCATCTGTTCTTTTTTCCTTCAATTTTAAGGTATAGGTAGGATATAAATATATTATATTATTTTAAATTATAATAATGGGATTGGTTTTTTTTTGTTGTAGCGATGAAGGCATTTGCAGAAACTTTGGAATTTGTATTTTATCTGACCATAATTAAAACTTAACCTATATTGTTTTATTCACACAGATTGTTTGTGTCTCATTACTTTAGGCAAAAACTTCATTGCAGTCAACCCCACTTTTAGTTAATTAGTTATAGATCACAATAACAACCCCGAGTCTTAAACTAGTGAAAAAAGGGAGATAAATCCAACAAAGTGAACTAACTCCAAAAAAAGGGAATTTGAATCCAACGAAGGGAACTTATTAGGATGATTTTACTTCTGTTGTTCTCTCTAAACAGGTCAAATAATTTACTTTATGTGTAGGGTTGATGTTGAAATTTCCCAAAGAGATACTCCAGAAATGAAAGAGACAAAGCTTTCTTTGGTTAAATGTATATTTTGTGCTGCATTTCAGAATCAAATTTCACATCATTGAATCAAGTTTGTTTGTAGTGAGTTTTTTCTGGGGCTACCTGCTGATGCTGTTGGTGATGACCTACTCTGTGTGGCTGGTGGTGGCGGTTATTTTAGGTGAGTCCTGTTGGGTAGTGACCTACTCTGTGTGGCTGCCGGTGGCGGTTATTTTAGGTGAGTCCTGTTGGGTAGTGACCTACTCTGTGTGGCTGGTGGTGGTGGTGGTTATTTTAGGTTGAGTCCTGTTGGTAGTAATCCTACTCTGTGTGGCTGGAGGTGGCGGTTATTTTTAGGTCCTGGTCTTTAAAAACACAAATAAGTTTGATCTTATACTTACCGTAACCATAAAGTAAAAGAGAATCTGAAAATTAAAGACTTTACATTGAAGATGAGAACAACATTATATTTCATCAATGATATCTTTAAACACTCTTATCCTGATCTATTTAAACCATGGATCCCATCTCTAGAGTCTGGATTGCCTTGAAATGTTTACTGTCCAATCTGACTTAAACTAATTTACTCAGCACGGATTTTGTTGATGAGCTCTGCCCAATGCTAAATTCTGTTTGCATTCTTGTATGCAGGGAAATGTCAGCAGTTTCCTATCAGCAAAATCATTATAGGAAAAACAGAAATTTACTTCTATATTCTGTATGCTGCTGCTTTGACCGCTTCAGTAAAATACATTACAGCAAGGGTCACCAAACAATTTTTTTTACCGCAGGCCAGATAAATGACAAAAGGACAACCCGGGTCACATTATAATTATGTACATTTCGGCCACGCCCCCTTTCTAAAGGCAGAAGATGCCGATACTAAGATTATTTAATTATGACCACTATTTGCATCAAAATGTTTGATAATTTGTGTTTTAGAATGAACTTAAAAGTAATTTAAACAAGGATATTTAAATTTGAGGTTTAAAAACCCGGTAGAGTCATGATGTACATGGTTAACTTACATTATTTATACCGGGTAGCCATAGGTTAGGGTTAATGTTAAACTAGATGCTCTAAAAGGTTTTATATAGGGGGCATTTTGAGTGGTAAAATTGATACAATTTTGTTTTTCATATATGAAGACAAAGAGCCAGCATCTCATACTAGCTGAGCCAGCATTTCATAATAGCTGAGCCAGCATCTCATAATTGCTGAGCTGCTTTTTGCCAATCAGACTGTTGATTAATCATGGAGATTATTGTTCAAGAATAAAATGAAACATTTAGGATTATGTCGCAAAACAATACCTGTAATCTTAAAGAATATTTAAAAAGAAGTTATTGCCTGTACTTTACAGAAACTTAAGCCTCATGTTTGACAACACATACTGCTGTCACTTCAGGTATAGTTTTCAACTCTGGGATGCCTTCTTAACTTGACGAGCGTTTCTGTCATAAATCTTTTCTTTTGCTTTTTAACTAAATTGTCCTGCCTCTTGCTCGTAATTTGTGTGTACAATTGTGCTCACGTACCTGCGATTTCCCCCGAGACAAAAAGAGGACACTAACATTTGTCTCACACATTCCTCTCTTTAGGTTCTGGCCTGGGGTACTTCATCTTCAATCCCATCAGCCAGCACCTCGCCTGGAAGTACTCGGCCGTCAAACCAAAGGTCAAACCTCCATGTTGCAGTGGTGATCTGCCAGAGACAAGTGGCTTGCACACACAGGAACCCTATGGAGGTAACAGCTGCTTTATTCTCACTATATTTTCTAAATAAAATTGTTGATTTTGAATTTATATACTTTTTTGATTTCCATAAAACAAAGACATGCACTTTTCAAACTTCCATCATTTAATACACTTTTAAAAATATCAACGCCATCTTTACTTGTTTGACAGTGCTTTGGAATACAAATTTCAACGGAATGAAACCTCAGATTCCATTACATGTTGATTCTTTGTTTCCATGACTGTTACTTTCTGAATTTCTGTTTGCCTAAAATTGATAATTGCCCTTTGTTTACATAGATCCTTTTAGGATCCTCTAGGATGATTTCAGAGTGAATACTTTAGTAAGATTTTTTGTTGACTGTTTCTTGGGGTATATGTTTTTTTTTTCCTTGCATTTCATCCATATTATTTATTAACTTATTTTGACTGTAGACTAAGACCTCTTTAGTTCAACTCGTAAAAAATTAGATCTAGTCTTGCTGTGGAGGTATAATTTTAATATTCAAGTAATAAAGATTTTGGGCTGACAGTCTGTTGTGTCTACAAATATTAAACTTTGCACAGCAACACATTTGTTAAATTTGTTCTGCACTAGAATAAAATTTTTATTTATTCTAAAGGAGAAGATTTGTTTTAAAAAAAATCTTTCTATTTTTACAAAATAACGGACGATAAAAGAAAAGTGATAAATTGTAAATAGCTGCGATGATGAAAGTGTCATGTTTTAAATTGCAAAATTTTATCAGAATTTCACAGTGCTCCTATTAGTGTAACTATGCCGGCACACTTTGAACTAACCCGTGTACAATGGACCACAGCACAGACTTATTTCAGTTTATAATTTAACAGAAAAACATACACAATGTAGCATTTATTTACCTGACAGATTAGGCTAAGAAAAATTTAAATAACAAACTATAAAACTCTTGTGAAATACATTGTTTCAGAAATTTATTTAAACTAAATAAGACAAGGCCCTAGCCTGATGATAGTTAGAAAGATGTGTCCATGAAATAAATGATTGCTGATATTTTAAACTGGTTGTTAGTAGAGGCAACTGGGTCAATGAATTTCTGTACATGCCTGATTTATTTTTGTGTGACTGTTGAAAGTGATATGCATTAATTTTCAGTTGCATGTTTCAAAATCTTCCACGTATCAGTTACCGTGAGCCCTGGGACCACAAATCAGTTACCTTGAGCCCTGGGACCACAAATCAGTTACCTTGAGCCCTGGGACCACATATCAGTTACCGTGAGCCCTGGGGTCCTTGATTTATAGCACTTTCACAAATTTTTAGACAAGATAAGCTTAATAAGAGAAACACCTGAAGCTCTCCAGTTTGAAGTAACAGTAAACTCTCTAAACGAATTTGAAATAAAAAAAAAGGTTACAAACTACATTGCAAGTCATCATGAGCAACAAAAATCTTAAAAGCAGTTGGGGGAAACTTTACACAAGCAGGCAAGGGAAATATTTTTTGGTTGTCAGATGTTTTTTGTGTGGCTTAAGGCCCTTTCCAAGGTTCTTGTACAGTTAAACAACATTTTTTAAATCGAACGCATCCTCCATTAACTGAATGTTTTATGTTACACCCCCTGACAGCAGAGTGACACAATACATGCTCTTTTGTTGTTTACTTTACTGATGTGTGTTCAATTTTATTTTCAACGTGTTCTAGTTCATTTTTACCTACATTTAATTTTTTTAAGAATTAGAAATTGCTGTTTTCATGTCAATTACTCTGTGTGAGTGTAAAAAAAATTGTGCTATCACTATCATAACCAACTTTTGATTTCAGTACATCAAGTGCTTTTATATTTAGACCAATAAGCAATATCTTAGCTTAAAAAAAAATAAATAAAAATTGAGTAAAAAAGATTGTGTATTATCAATCTGTAATATATTAAAACAAATATTTATTGATATCTCTTATATTAAAATTAAAAGAAATATTGGTGTTTAATAATTTAAAGACTTACAAATGTGAAAAAATTTATTTGCATTAATAATTTTGTTCAGTAGGTAACAAAAAAAACCCAAAAATAAAAAAAAAACATTTTTTTTTAAAAAATGAAGAGGTTTGCAATAAAAACTTTTTTGCGAAAGTACATATTAACTACTTCATTTGAATAGATAAAAGCTTTGTTGTGAATGTAACAATTAAATACCAGTTGGAAAACAACAAGAAAAAACTCCAAATGCAAGTACTTATCATCATAATCTCATCTGCACAACAGTAAATAGATTTTTTAAATTTCCAGAACGCTCCAGTCTTTTGGAGGTTAGAAGGAACTACAACGCAATCTCAAGCAGTAACCAAGGTGTCTAGGTTCCGTTGTGGAAACTGTCTGCATGAAGTATGCCATCGTTAACCTTAAGTTATCAGTCACTAACAAGTATTCTATCCCAGGCTTTGTTGCATTGCTCGTTATATAAAAAATAATTTGCCCATTTGTGTACGTCAGTCTTGAGATTTCCATTTATATTTCCAATGTTTCATTGCATTCCATGCTTTTTTTATAAAAAAAAATAATGCTTTGTGATGCAATTTGTAAACTGCTAGGTTGCTGATGTGTAACAGCAGTTTTCCTGTCCAATTTTATTGCAGCTTGCCACATCAGCCATGTGCGCATTACATTATTTTTTACTAATCCTAAGAAGCTGCAAGGAATCCAATAAATTAGGGATAAAAATAATGAAGTTTGGCTAGGATTTAAAAAAAAAATCTTTTTTTTTATATATACCTGTGAGGAGAATTGAATCAAATATTATTTCTCCAATCCCTTAATGGCATTAGCCTCATTGGTAATGTTTAGACATTGTTTAAATAATTGCTCTAATGGTCTGAGGTGCATTTTATCTCACTAAGTCAGTGGCTGGCAAATGAACAGGTTAAAAGCCTGCTAACACTTGTATTGCTATCCATGAGGGCTTCACGGAAGCAAGAGAAACCGATTTAAAAAGAATTTTTTAAATTAGCCTTATGGATTGGATATTAGCAAAGTTCAAGGGGGGGGGGGGGGGGGTCCTTAAAAGGGTTTTAAAGATTAAAAAAAATTTTATTTTTTTTTTTTTTGGGGGTTTTTTTTTTTTCAAGGGGGGGGGGGGGCTACTTACAACGGATTTAAAGATTAAATAAAATTTTATATTTTCTTTGTTCAGGGGATTTTTTTTCCCATTAACGGTTTACAATTTTGCAGAAATTTAAAAAAGTATATATTCACTGTGCATTCAGGTATGTCCTTAAAGTAATGATGAAGTGAAAACTGTGCTTCTTTAGTTTTAAAACATACACACTTTAAACTGACTTGTAAGACATGAAAACAATTTTTTTTTTTTCAATTTTGGTGAAACTAAAATATTTTATGTTTTCTCCAAAATTAAGGTTACAGTTTATGTTCTCCATATGAAATATTTTATGGTGCTGATCGACTTCATGAAAGTTTATTTTCTCATTGATTTCCTGCAGGCAGGGTGTATCAGATCAATGTCTGGCTCACCAAGGTGTATCAGACCAATGTCTGGCTCAGCAGGGTGTATCAGACCAATGTCTGGCTCAGCAGGGTCTATGAGACCAATGTCTAGCTCAGCAGGGTCTATAAGATTAATGTCTAGTTCAGCAGGGTCTCTGAGACCAATGTCTAGCGCAGCAGGGTCTATGAGATCAATGTCTAGCTCAGCAGCGTCTATGAGACCAATGTCTAGCTCAGCAGGGTCTATAAGATCAATGCCTAGCTCAGCAGGGTCTATGAGATCAATGCCTAGCTCAGCAGGGTCTATGAGACCAATGTCTAGCGCAGCAGGGTCTATGAGACCAATGACTTGAACCATGTTGGCCCCGATTGTAGCATTAATCTTTTAATAATCTGCCATGTTTACCGAGCAAAAACCATCTCTTGGTGATTCTGTTGTTTATACTCAGTGTTCAGAATGTGATGAATTGCCCCCCCCCCCCCTTCATGGTATTATTTAATTATTTCCATCTCTTATGGAGTGCTGTGCAAAATGTAGTCAATATCCAAGTGTTTAAACAAATGCTATAGATATAGTGCAATACTCAAATTGGTCTAAGATTTTTTTCTCTGTTTCTAGATAATTTAGTTTCTCAGCTGTTATCTAAGTATTCAGCTATTTTACATCATCATTCCCTGTAAATAAAACAAACCCTCATCAAACTGATATTCCAAACATGTTCCACTGTGTACAGCTCACATTTGCAATATCTTGTTTAACATCTTGCGTGTAAATATTTTTCAAAATGTTTTTATAAGTTATGATTAAAACAGTTGTACTTAATCGGATGCAACTTGGCCGGATGCAGGGGTCCTCATCGGATGCAACTTGGCGGGATGCAGGGGTCCTCATCGGATGCAACTTGGCCGGATGCAGGGGTCCTCATCGGATGCAACTTGGCCGGATGCAGGGGTCCTCATGGGATGCAACTTGGCGGGATGCAGGGGTCCTCATCGGATGCAACTTTGCGGGATGCAGGGGTCCTAATCGGATGCAACTTGGCGAGATGCAGGGGTCCTCATCAGATGCAACTTGGCGGGATGCAGGGGTCCTCATTTGTACTTAATCGGATGCAACTTGGCCGGATGCAGGGGTCCTCATCGGATGCAACTTGGCGGGATGCAGGGGTCCTCATCGGATGCAACTTGGCGGGATGCAGGGGTCCTCATCGGATGCAACTTGGCGGGATGCAGGGGTCCTCATCGGATGCAACTTGGCGGGATGCAGGGGTCCTGATCGGATGCAACTTGGCGGGATGCAGGGGTCCTAATCGGATGCAACTTGGCGAGATGCAGGGGTCCTAATCGGATGCAACTTGGCGGGATGCAGGGGTCCTCATCGGATGCAACTTGGCGGGATGCAGGGGTCCTAATGGGATGCAACTTGGCGGGATGCAGGGGTCCTCACTAATCAATGCGGCAGAAAATGCTTATTTCATTACCACAACTTGATATCTGAAAATTGATATTTATCTTCTCGTTACACCTTTATGGGTCGAAGGGGAAAATGTAGCAAACAATGGTTTGAGAATCCCTGAATGTTTTAAATTTAAACACCTATAAATATTTAAAATTTTAGAATTATCAGTTTGGGGGGGGGTACATTTGTGGGGGTGGGTGGTTTACAGCTGCTCTCAAGTATGGTACTACATTCTCTGTATGAGCTCAGCTGTTTCGAGGACATGGCTCTAACTATTGCACAGTGATATGCACTACAATGTTGAGCATTGAAGAAATTCATTTTAAATGGAGGAAGTTGGTTACTCATCTTTGTCCTCAGCTATTCCATTGGATGTTGTCACAAAACGTCACTGAATAATGTGCAAGGCTCTTTTTTAAGACTTGGATATGCATTTGTGCCTTCTTAACAAATTAAATAGAAAAAAGTTACGATGTGTATTTTAAAGGCATTGCTTTGACTTTAAAGGCATTGCTTTGATTTTAAAGGCATTGCTTTGATTTTAAAGGCATTGCTTTGATTTTAAAGGCATTGCTTTGATTTTAAAGGCATTGCTTTGATTTTAAAGGCATTGCTTTGATTTTAAAGGCATTGCTTTGATTTTAAAGGCATTGCTTTGATTTTAAAGGCATTGCTTTGATTTTAAAGGCATTGCTTTGATTTTAAAGGCATTGCTTTGATTTTAAAGGCATTGCTTTGATTTTAAAGGCATTGCTTTGATTTTAAAGGCATTGCTTTGATTTTAAAGGCATTGCTTTGATTTTAAAGGCATTGCTTTGATTTTAAAGGCATTGCTTTGATTTTAAAGGCATTGCTTTGATTTTAAAGGCATTGCTTTGATTTTAAAGGCATTGCTTTGATTTTAAAGGCATTGCTTTGATTTTAAAGGCATTGCTTTGATTTTAAAGGCATTGCTTTGATTTTAAAGGCATTGCTTTGATTTTAAAGGCATTGCTTTGATTTTAAAGGCATTGCTTTGATTTTAAAGGCATTGCTTTGATTTTAAAGGCATTGCTTTGATTTTAAAGGCATTGCTTTGATTTTAAAGGCATTGCTTTGATTTTAAAGGCATTGCTTTGATTTTAAAGGCATTGCTTTGATTTTAAAGGCATTGCTTTGATTTTAAAGGCATTGCTTTGATTTTAAAGGCATTGCTTTGATTTTAAAGGCATTGCTTTGATTTTAAAGGCATTGCTTTGATTTTAAAGGCATTGCTTTGATTTTAAAGGCATTGCTTTGATTTTAAAGGCATTGCTTTGATTTTAAAGGCATTGCTTTGATTTTAAAGGCATTGCTTTGATTTTAAAGGCATTGCTTTGATTTTAAAGGCATTGCTTTGATTTTAAAGGCATTGCTTTGATTTTAAAGGCATTGCTTTGATTTTAAAGGCATTGCTTTGATTTTAAAGGCATTGCTTTGATTTTAAAGGCATTGCTTTGATTTTAAAGGCATTGCTTTGATTTTAAAGGCATTGCTTTGACTTTAAAGGCATTGCTTTGATTTTAAAGGCATTGCTTTGATTTTAAAGGCATTGCTTTGATTTTAAAGGCATTGCTTTGATTTTAAAGGCATTGCTTTGATTTTAAAGACATTGCTTTGATTTTAAAGGCATTGCTTTGATTTTAAAGGCATTGCTTTGATTTTAAAGGCATTGCTTTGATTTTAAAGGCATTGCTTTGATTTTAAAGGCATTGCTTTGATTTTAAAGGCATTGCTTTGAGGTTTGGTGAATTCTGCCATGGATCTTCACCTGTTGCACTTATATTCGTTATCCCCACTGCCCCCCCCCCTCCCCAACCACCAAAATCCTGAAAAGACTTTAGAAACAATTAAATCTTATCTTAGTCATTTTTGCTACAGAACAATTTTTTTAATTTTATAAATAAATATAAATGTTGCCATGATTGTGGTCCTGAAATTGTCCTATTTCTATGTAATATTTGGTTTGGAGTGAGATTTGTTACCTGTATTTTCTTATGAAAATAAAATTTTATAAATGACATCATGTTATCTGTTTTGCGTTTTTGTCTGGTTCATTTGGTGATCTCAAATGTCTTGTGTTTTACAAATGTCTTGTGTTGTTTTACAAATGTCTTGTGTTGTTTTACAAATGTCTTGTGTTGTTTTACAAACGTCTTGTATTGTTTTACAAATGTCTTGTGTTGTTTTACAAATGTCTTGTGTTGTTTTACAAATGTCTTGTGTTGTTTTACAAACGTCTTGTGTTGTTTTACAAATGTCTTGTGTTGTTTTACAAATGTCTTGTGTTGTTTTACCAATGTCTTGTGTTGTTTTACAAATGTCTTGTGTTGTTTTACAAATGTCTTGTGGTGTTTTACAAATGTCTTTTGTTGTTTTACAAACGTCTTGTGTTGTTTTACAAATGTCTTGTGTTGTTTTACAAATGTCTTGTGTTTTTTACAAATGTCTTGTGTTGTTTTACAAATGTCTTGTGTTGTTTTACCAATGTCTTGTGTTGTTTTACCAATGTCTTGTGTTGTTTTACAAATGTCTTGTGTTGTTTTACAAATGTCTTGTATTGTTTTACAAATGTCTTGTGTTGTTTTACAAATGTCTTGTGTTGTTTTACAAATGTCTTGTGTTGTTTTACAAATGTCTTGTGTTGTCTTACAAATGTCTTGTGTTGTTTTACAAATGTCTTGTGTTGTTTTACAAACGTCTTGTGTTGTTTTACAAATGTCTTGTGTTGTTTCACAAATGTCTTGTGTTGTTTTACAAATGTCTTGTGTTGTTTTACAAATGTCTTGTGTTGTTTTACAAACGTCTTGTGTTGTTTTACAAATGTCTTGTGTTGTTTTACCAATGTCTTGTGTTGTTTTACCAATGTCTTGTGTTGTTTTACCAATGTCTTGTGTTGTTTTACAAATGTCTTCACTTTTAATACACTATTCTATACCCGAAATAGAAAATCAGTAAAACAAAGTAGGGTTAAACCTGGAAAAAAAGGAACGCAACAAATCAACGAACGTGTCGGCAGGAAGCCTTCGTC